TCAATTTACTTTACGTGTTCTTTAAATTAAATTTTATTTATATATTTATTTATTATGATTTATTTATTTTGTATCCCCATTGTGGCCCCCTTCCTTGTCTCCTTCCAGTCCCACCCACCTTCCCTCTTCTCCCCCTATGCCCTTTCCCTAGTCTCCTGATAGGGGAGGACCTCCCCTCTTGTATCTGACCCTAGCCTATCAGGTTTTATGAAGGCTGGCTGCATCCTCCTCTTCTGTAGCCTGGCAAGGCTGCACCACCCAGGAGGAGGTGATCAGTCTGCCACTGGGTTCATGTCAGAGACAGCCCCTGTTCCCCTTACTAGGGAACTCACTTGGAAACTGCGCAGCCAATGGGCTTCCTTTGAAGCGGGGGTTTAGCTCTTCTCCCTGTTTCACGTGTTTTGCCTGCATATATGTGTGTGCATCATGTGCCCATTTAGTGCCCATGGAGGTCAGAAGAGGGCATCAGATTCACCGGAGTTGGAATGTTTCTGAACTACCATCTGGGTGCTCAGAGTCAAATCCGGTTCCTCTGCCAGGTTAACCGCTAAGCCATTTCTCAAGCCCAACTATTACTTTTAAACATTTGCTTGTTTTGCATATATATATTTAAATATGATAATATAGACTTACAACCCTTACCTCTAATATTTTCTCCATCCATGTTACACTAAAAGATTAAGCAAATTCATTTTTCACAATTCTGAAAGTAGAAAGTCCTAGATCACTGCTTTCTTTTGCTGTGATAAAAACACTGACTTGGGGAGGGAAGGTTTTATTCTGTCTTACAGCTTGTAGTCCATCATGAGAGGAAGTCAGGGCAGGAACTCAAGGCAGGAACGTGGAGGCAGAAACTGAAGCAGAGGTCATGAAGGAGTGCTGCTTAGTGGCTTGCTCTCCTGGATCATTTAATTTGCTTTCTTACACACCTCAGGACTGCTTGTCCATGTCTGGCACCCACAGTGGGCTGGGCCCTTCCACATAAATCATCAACCAAGAAAATGCCCCTTGCCTACAGGGCAATCTGATGGGGCATTTTTCTCAACTGGGGTTCTTTCTTCTCAGCTGCTGCCAGATGTGTCAAGTTGAAAACAAAACAAAACTAATCACCACAAAGGAAAAATATGTTAGTGGCATCTAGAAACAGAGATTCTTTTCACATTTTTAAAATTAATTTATTCTCTCATATTATACCCAGACCACAGTTTCCCCTCCCTCCTCTCCCTTTCCTCCCCATCCACTCCTCCTCTGTTTCTCTTCAGAAAAGGGCCGGCCTTCCAGGGGTATCCACCAAACGTGGCATATCGAGTTGCAATAAAATTAGGTACCTTCCTTTGAGATAAGCCTTATATTAAGGCTGGATGAGGCAATCCAGTAGGAGGACAAAGGTCCCAAAAGCAGGAAAAAGAGTCAGGGTCATACCCTGCTCCCTCTGTATAGTGTCCCACAAGAACACCGAGCTACACAACTATAACACATATGCGGAGGACCTGGGTTAGACCCGTGCAGGCCGCCTGATTGTTCAGCTCTGTGAGCCCCTATGAGTCCAGGTTTGTTGTGTGTTTTCTTTTGGTGTCCTTGACCCCTCTGGCTCCTACAATCCTTCCTCCCCCTCTTCAGCATGAGTCCCCAAGCTCTGCCTAATGTTTCGCTGTGGGTCCCTGCATCCATAAACAGAGATTTTTAAAGCCACTAAAGAGAATATTAGCAAATGGAACCTACAAATGCTTTTTAAAAATCCAGACCAGAGCCGGTAGGTGGTGGTGCACACCTTTAACACAGCATTCACCGGGCAGAGGCAGGAGGATCTCTGTGAGTCTGAGGCCAGGCTGGTCTACAGAGTGAGTTCTAAGGCTACACAGAGAAATCCTGACTAGAAAAAAAAAATCAGACTAGATTGTGTTTATTTTAGGAATGGAAACTAGATAGTTTATTAATGTAATACATTAAGATTCACATTGATTTATCAATATTAATTATACATTGCTATCAATTCATTAATTATCTATTAACTCACTGGCATTGTGAATATAATTCATTGTTGTAATTAATTAAAATACAAATTATAATAGTCCTTTCAAGGATTAAAGAAGAAAAAACCCTGATCTTCAGGGCTGCCAGATGAACAGTTGGTAATGCTTCTACTTCTGATAAACACTCTAGAAACAGCCAGGAATGGTGGTTCAGGCCTTAAATTCCAGCACTCAGGTGGCAAATGAAGAAGAATCTCTGTGAGCTTTAGGACATGCAAGACTGTATAGTGATATCTTGTTTCGGAAAAATAAAATAATAAATTAAAAATTTAGAAACACAGAGATATAAAAGTCAGTGTAGCTCCCATTTGGTATACCTTTGAGGTTCATAATCTGATGTTCTCTGTGGTCAGACTAAAGGCTTTGATTTTGCTTCCCTTGGCCTTCCATTTAAGACCGAGCATCTTTGGGCCAACTTGCTTAACAATTTTTTAAAAAAATTTCCTATGCACAAAACAAAAGTAACATTATCCATCTTAAGTATTAAGGATTAAGACTCTCGAATGGAGGCCAGAGAGATTGATCAGCAGTTAAGAGCCCTGGCTGCTGTTCTGGAGGGTCCTAGTTTGATTCCCAGCACCCACATGGCAGCTAACAACCATCTACAACTCCAGTTCCAGGAGATCCGATGACCTTTTCTGGCCCCTGTGGAAACCAGGCACACATGTAGCACACAGGCATATATGCAGGTAAAACATTCCATATACATTGAGTAAAATGAAAACTATCTTTATAAAGACCCTTGAAGCCAGACAGTGGTAGCACAGAACTTTAATCCCAGCACTCAGGAGACAGACAGATCTTTGAGTTTGAGGCCAACTTGGTCTACAGAGTGAGTTCCAAGACAGCTAGGCTTACACAGAGAAACCCTGTCTCGGAAAAAAAAAAAAAAAAAAAAAAGACTCTCAAACATTAAGGGACTCAACAAGTCATTGTCATTAAAGAAACCCCCTACCTCAAAACCAGGGTTATAAAAACAGGCCTGAGTTGTTGAGAAACCAACCACCCATAGAAATCCAGAAAGCATTCAATCCCATCATTGACCCTGAAACCAGAAGATATCAAAAACAGGCAATCTGGCTTCTCTTCCACCATGGTGAAACCCCCACCTCCACCCCAACACTCTAATCCAAAACCTGCTTCTCAGACCCTGTACAACATACTTCTCTTTCCTCAGATACTGAGTCACAGGGTTTGGGGGCACCAACATCTCAGGACCAATAAAGTCTGCTCTCCCATTTTAAGGTAGAACTGTCTATTCTTTCATTCTACTCTACTGACTTATTTCTTCCATTTACCGCATTGTCTTAGTTAGGGTTTCTATTGCTGTGAAGAGACACTATGATCACAGCAACTCTTATAAAAGAAAACATTTAATTGGAACTGTCTTACTGTTCATAGTTTAGTCTTTTATCGTCATGGTGGGAAGTGTATTGGTATGCAGGCAGATATGGTGCTGGAGAGGTAATCGAGAGTTCTACATCTGGGTCCACAGGCAGCAGGAAGAGAACAGTGACTCTCTACGTCTAGACTGAGCATCTGAAACCTCAAAGCCCACCCCCCAGAGACATACTTCCTCCAACAAGGCTACACCTACCCTAACAAGGCCATACATCCTAATAGTGCCACTCTCTATGGGACTATGGGGGCCAGGTTTATTCAAACCACCACACATGTTTTAAATGTGTGCTTGACTGATAGCGGAAGTATTCCTTCTCTATTCTCAAAGAATGCATGTTGAATTCAGATCTGAGACTTTTTATGTTCTTTCTGTCTCTCATTGTTCACTCATGCTGTCCTAACTTCTGTTTAAAGCTTAATCCTAAATGGCCACTCAATAACCATTCTTTGTAACTCTTTGTACTAGCCTCACGCTTATTAGTGTTTCTATTAGTGTTAGGCTGTTAGAGATAAATGAATACATATTAGTGTGTTTACAACACTTAAAGAATACTAGCCACTGTTGATACAAAAACCACATCCCTCATTGTCTTGGTTGTAGTGATATGTAAAATAAAGCCTTTATGTCTGGCTTTGAGTGAAATGTTTTAGTAAAACCTTTGCTATGTTTGGGCCAATCAGTAGAGGCTGAGAAAAAAAAATTGAGACTGTTTAAACCTTGAAGAAATGTTGTTTTGCTGGGGAATCTGCACTTGGTGCTAGATGAGAGCTTGCAGCTGCACTGACCTTAGTCCTGAGACACTTTCAAAAAACCATAATCAAAATGGACTGAGATTTGTGTGGGTTATCTGTCCTTATGAGCAGCAAGGGCAAAATACCTTTGGTAGTTGGAACCTTTCCCAGCCCCAATTAACCTTATATATTTTTGAATAAAGTAACTGGACTGAGCTGGCTGGGTGTCAGTGTTTTCCAAGAAAGTTGACCCCTTCTTCTCCTTCAGAAAATGAAGGCTTAGTTAGCATCTTGGTGAGCTTTTCTCTCTACTGTGGCACCTATGACCAACATCAAACAATACTTAGTCAGTGTTCTATTGCTATGAAGAGACACCGTGACCACAACTCCTATTTTTTTTAAAGCATTTAATTGGGGCTTACTTATAGTTTCAGAGCTCCCTTTTCATCATGGCAGAAGCATGGCAGCAAGCAGGCAGACAGGGTGCTGGAGAAACAGCTGAGAGTTCTACATCTCAGATCTCCAGGGAGCGGGAAGGGAGAATCACTGGGCCTGGCTTGGGCTTTTGAAATCTCAACGCCAGTGACTTCCTCCAGTGAAGCCACATACACTCCAACAAGGCCACACCTCTATATCCTTCTCAAGTAGTGCCACTTCCTGAGGACTGAGCATTCCAGTATATGAGTCTATGGGGGCCATTCTTATTCAAACCACCACACTCATCTTAAAGGGAGTAATAGTTTATTCTGGAGTCACTTTGAGTGACTACGGCCTGGAGAACACAAACTTGGGTTACCCCAAATTCCATGATCCAATGTGGAAGCAGTTTCATGAAGTTTTATAGTTTTACAGAACAAAGAAAATCATAAATCACGGCAAGCTTAAGATACATTGGTGGGTACAGCAGAGAGAAGCAATAACATTGAGATGGGGGAAACTTTCCTATAGGCCCAAGAAGATATCTGATGACTTGGGGGCCTGGTGAGGCCTTCTCTCAAAAGCCTGGGAAATGAGGGGTCAGGAGGTATAGAAAAAAAAAAAAAACATTGAGGGGAGTCATTTGACCATTTAAACACACGGTGGGGCAGTAAGGGCGCCATCAGTCGTTCACTCGTTATACAAAACAGAGCCAGGATCTCGGGGAACAGACCGCAGAGGGCCTCGGGGAGCCTGGGTCGCACTGACTTGGGGTTAGGGAAAGGCGGAACCTTGGTCCTCAGCTCTCTGTTTCTCGCGACTCCATTCCAGCAGCTACACTACCTAAAGGACCGCCTCCTTCCCTTTCCCCCCGGGGGCCTATCCGGATCAGTTCCGGATTTTGTGACTGAATTTCCACCAAACCACGAGCCAACCCCCCCATCACTGAGGCCAGTTTCTCCAGTACCCCCACCGCGCCCTCCGTATCCCACGACGACTCCCTTCGTGGGAGAAGGCACGGGCTCGCGGAGCAGGCGGGGCCCGCGTGGCCGCAGGCGCGTTCCGCGGAGCTCGCTCCCAGCGCTTCACCTCCCGGCTCGCGTCCCAGTGGCCCGGCACGCGGCGCCGGCTTCCCCCTCACCTCCCAGCCGAGCGGCCTCCAGACCCCTCGCCGTTGGAGCGACCCCGGCGAGGCCAGGCGCTCGGTCCGGCCGAGGGAAGCCGGAGGAGGACCGGGCTAGGAAGAGCAGCGGGGTTTCGCGGAGGCGGTCCCGCGCGCCCTGGTAGGCGGAGTGGCAGAGTCACCTGAGAAAGCCAGACAGCTGCATCCCCTCCCGCCGGAGCTCCGCACCCAGACTAGTGGTCCAGGCCCGGGAGCCCGCGTCACACCAGCGAGGACAGGCCACATCGAGCGACTGACTGAACATGGCCACACCGTTCCTATCCGCAGGGGCCACCACGGGCGACAGCGGTGGGGAACTGAGCTCTGGGGACAACTCTGGTGATATGGAATCACCCCAGACTCCCGAGACCGAGACGTTCCGGAGCCTGGCCGAGCAGTTTGAGAAGGCTGCCGCACACGTCCAAGGCCTGATTCAGGTGGCCAGCAGGGAGCAGCTCCTGTACCTGTACGCCAGGTACAAGCAGGTAAAAGATGGGTGGATGAGAGAGAACACGAGCTTCTTCCTTCAAAAACTTAAACCGCAGATGTGCGTGGCTAATGGCCGAGTGTAATGAAGTTTGTGTGTTTGTATTTCGATTTTTTTTTCTTTTGGACGCTGGAGAATAGCATCATTCCGGACATGGAATATCTCTCTGCCATCCTACAGATGATACTTGTGAGGCTGGACACTGAATGACAGTGTTTCTGTTCTCTGATTAGTTGCCTTGCCTCTGAACCATTACACAATTTGTCATTCACTGTTGCTAAAGGGACGTTTGTTAGGAAATATGGTAATGTTGATAATAAATTTGATATTTAAGAGAATATTACTATATACAAAATAAAAATACAATATCACTGTTGTGATTTTTAGAAACTCTAAATATAGTTCACATGTTTTGGCTTAATTTGGCCCTGCTAGATATATCCCCCCCCCTTTTTTTTTTTTTTTTTTTGTTAAGGGCTCCATGTTGGCAACATGGAGGCTAGTGATGAACTCTCAGCTTCCTGAATCACTTTCTTTTACAAATAAACAACAAAAAAAACCAGCTTAGAAAGTTACATGGATGTATCAGAATTAAAATGTAGTTTCTGACTCTAAGACTGAACTTTACCTAAGTAAAGTAAGGAAATGTACGTGTTACAATGTAAGACTAAGCTATCATTCAAGGTTAGGTACCAGAAGGAAAAACAATTGCTTTCTCACAGACAAGAGATACAGTTCATCAGAACAGTGGATGTCCTGTCTACAGAGAATGCAGAGATGAAGGAGCTTTATGACAGTGCCCTTAAGAGGCTTACAGGATTACTTAAGGAATGTAGATGTGGACCTGAAAAGTCAATGATGAGTTAAACAGCAGTTCAGGAAAACCCCAGTCCTTAGCAGCGTTGAAAGAAATGAAGTTCTGGATAGTAGCCTCTTTTATTAGAATTTTTAAAAAATGCCTCTTGGGCCATATCCTGGGAACCCGGAGTGGCCCTGGCCAGAGTCCATGATGCCTAGTATTTAATTAAAACTTGCTTTAAATTTGGCATTAAAAAAAAAAAAAAAAAACTTTTGAGGGAGCTGGAGAGATGGAGAGATGGCTCAGAGGTTAAGAGTACTGCCTGCTCTTTCAGAGGTCATGAGTTCAAATTCCCAGCAACCACATGGTGGCTCAAACCATCTATAATGAGATCTGGTGCCTTCTGGCATGCAGGTGTGCATGCAGACAACATTGCATACATAATAAATAAATCTTTAAAAATATCAATAAGAGAATCAAAGAAGGCAAGATTCTTTAAAAAATGCCTTTGGTATAGTTATATATATTTCTCCTGAATTTTTTTTTTTAGGTAGTTGTGGGGACCCTGCTGTATTTCCAATTACATGTTGATTTGGTTTGTGTGCATGCACATGTGTGAGTGGAAGTTAGAGTACAACTTGCAGGAGTTGGTTTTCTCCTTTCACCACGTGGGCCCCGGGGAATCAGTTTAGGTTGTGGCAAGCACCTTTACCCACGTAGCCATCTTGCCACGCGTCCTGTGTTCTTCACCTTGACTGGAGGTGAGCCTGCTCTTTAGGACTGATGATGATTATGAGCACATGCTGGTAACGATACGACCTGAGAGAGATCCATGTACAGGTCCTGTTCGACATTTTGTTCGATGCCAGGTGTGATGGCACATGCCTTTAATCCCTAGTGCTCTGGGGAGGGAAAGGCTGGTGAGCTATGAGTTCAAGACCAGCCTGGTCAATACAGCAAGTTCTAAGCTAGTAGGAGCTATACAATGGGACGCTGGTTCAAAACAAACAAAAAACTGTGTAATGGGAGGAACATACAGACACGTCTGCTACATACCTAATTATATTGACTATTTTGAGGGATTTTGGGAAACTCACAGCTATAATTGAGTTACAAAGTGAACTATGTCCTTTTTCTGTGAGACTTCACTTTTACTTAGCAAAAACTATATAAGCTCTGTTTAGATTTGCATGTTTGGCAGGTAGTTTTTTTAAAATGAAATGAGCCTGGAAGGCAGCTGTAAATATTTGTTGCCATTGATAATGTTTGAGTTGTCAAGTGAAACGTTGAAATTTGGAGAAAGAAGGATCTGCAACCATGAGTTTGACAGCTCTCCCAGTGCTTACAAAATACTTCTTATGAAATAAATGATAACAGTATGAATATGAAGATTTGCTCATGTCTAATGCAATATGCAAATGCTAGATGACTCAGTGAGATATTACCTAAATGTTTCATAGGATAATGTTAAAAATCAGTTTAAGCAAAAGTTCATTTAAAGTGAAAATCAGACGAGTGGTTTTTACTCTAAATATGTTAAAGATCCATTGAACAATCAGATTCCACATCATAACTATCTTGAGAAACTACCATTTATTGAGTTTTGGTGTAATATCAAAGTATCCAGTTATTGGTGTGCTATAAGAATAATTCTGACAGTATATCTATGTGAAACCCAAATTGCTACATGGGCTTCATTCAAACCAACACATAGTGAGAGATTGGTCTCAGAAGTATGACAATACAACTATGTCAGACAGAAAAGAGATTTTAAAAGATATTAAGGAGATTTTTAAAAATGGCAAAGCCATTTTTCTGTTTTGTTTTTCAGTTTAGAATATAGTTATTTTTCATAAAATTTTGTTATTTATATTACCATGTTCTAGATTTATTTTCAAATAAATTAATAAATATACTTTCAAGGTCTGATTTATTTTTCTTGTATGTGTATTCACGTGTGGGGGGTACCTGTGTGCATGTGTGTGTGCATGTGTAGAGTCTGGAGGTTGATACTGGGAATCTTTCTCGAGTGCTATCTACCATATTCATTGAGGCAGGGTCTCTCACAGAACTCACAGTTGCTGATGTAGCCCATCTGGGTAGCCAGCCAGTCCTGCATCTCTAAAATCACACCAACTGCTGACCTCTATACACAGATGAAAAGGGACAAACGATACAAATTATGGTACATGAGGCCATGCGTCATCTGCCTAGCTTCTCGGACTGGGTGTAAATAAAGATTATAATAAAATACCTTGCTTAAAAACAAAGAGGGTAGGAATGCTAGAGAGCTAGCCTGGTGGTTAAGAGTACTTGCCTCTGGGATCCCCTGTCTGTTTCTGGAATTAGAAGTGAGTTGCCATGCCTACCTGGCACTTTGATTTTGGGCATCTGAACTCTTGTCTTTGCACTTGCTTTAACCACTGAGCAATACCACTCCCACCCTGTAATTTCCACTATAATGATCTAATATAAAGATCTAATTTCCAATATCATATATGACAGATAAAAGCTCTTCAGAGACTTTAAGAATTCAAAGGGCTCACGTGACCACAAAGTTTGAGAATTCCTGTTTCAAGTTCCGCTTCCATGGCCAGAGAGGCTCATGAGCACAGTATGCATGTTGTAGCTCAGGCAAAGCAAAAGAGATGATGAACCCCTTTTGGTTTTGATTGTTTAATTTTGTTTATTCTGTGTGTGTATGTGTGTGTTTGTGTATGACAGTGTATCTATGTGATATTCCTTCCTTCCTTTTCTTGCAAGCCACAGTCTGTATGGAGGTCAGAGGATAACTTTCAGGTTAGCGGTCTCCCTTCACCATGGGTTCTAGAGATTGAATTCAGGTTGTCAGGCCTGCATGGAAGTGCTCTTACCCACTGAACTCTCTCTCTATCTGGTTGCCCCAGCACCTCACTTCTTACAAACCTTCTGTATGAGTGGGTGTGCCTGGTGCCTGCCAAGGCTGGAAGAGGTCATCTTATCTCCTAGAACTGGAGTTACAGACAGGTGTAAGCTGCCATGTGGGTTCTGGGAACGGAACTCGGATCTGCAACAGTGGCAGAGGTGTTCTTAGGCCCCGGGCTAGCTCTCCAGCACCCTCACTCCTTTGTTTTGAAGTAAGGGATTTTATTATAATTTTCATATACATCCAAGTCCTAGAAGCTAGGCAGAAGTTGAATGTCCTCATGTACTGTATAGTTTGTATGGTATGTATAGTTTGTCAGTCTTCCTTTGTATTTGTAGTAGGGTCCAGCAGTTGTGATTTAGATCAGAATTGAAACCTAAATTTGCTGTCACAGTGAAGGAGTCAAACAGTTCTGGATAAATCCTGACAATGAATCCGGGATGTGCTAGTGTATAAGTTGAGACCACCCTCTTGAGTTTCTTTATCTTCATGGATAAGATGAGTTTGTAATGGCCTCACAGGGTGATTGATGATTATCCAAGAAACGCTTCTTCTCTTTCCGGTTACAACAGGGCTGCTTCTGTAGAAGTGTGCATTTTAGTAAGAGCCAGAGGACTATGTGATTAAGAGCTAAGGAGATGATTGGGGTGATACTTTATATTTATGTGTGTGGTATCTCTGTGGGTGTCTGCTGCTCGTGTGCAGGCACTTGGAGAGCAGAAAAGGGTGTGAGGTCCCTTGGAGCTGGTGGTGTTCAGAGGCAGTTGCAAGCTGCCTGATGTGGGTGCAGGGAGCTGAGCTCAGGTCCTTCAGCAGAGCAGTGATCACTCTTCACTCATCGCCCCAGCCCCACACGTATGTTCAGAGTTTATAATGGAGATTACATCTGGCAGTGGCAATCAAGAGCTGAATTCTCTTCCTGTACGGATTTCATTTTTGCACAGTTGTAATGAGAGCAGTCTGTAACTTAGCTACAAATGTCATTTGAGTCTTTAAGTGTAGAGTCAGATGTAGTGAGAAGTAGAGGTAGGGGATTCATAAGTTAAAGAGAGCCTGGGCTACATGAGACCCTACCTTAAAACAACAACAAAGGTACTGATCATTCATATTGTTGAGATTCTGAACTTTTTTTTTCTTTCCAGCTTTTGACATCTAAATTTATTTAGGCTTTTCCCCTTTGTTTCTTTCTTCCTTCCCTGTCTTCCTTCCTTCCTTTCTTCCTTCCTTCCTCCCTCCCTCCCTCCTTTCTTCCTTCCTTCTTTCCCATCTTCCCTCCCTCCCTCTTTTTCTCTTTCTTTAGGGTTTCACTGTATATCCCTGCTGTCCTCAAACTCACTCTGTAGCTCAGGTTGGCCTCAACCTCAGCCATCCATTGCCTCTGCCTCCCTCTGCTGGGATTAAAGGAGTTCGCCACCACTGCCTGGATTAGTTTGGTACTTTTAAAATAATACACGTTTAGTACAGTTTCTCCTGGATTTGGAGAGAGGTAAAATCATGAAAATCATGAAAATCAGCATAAAACCCCCCAATATATGAATTCTGGAAAACTGAACTTTAAATATTGTTAATTACCTGTTAATGACTTCTAGATAGGGGGTGGGTGAAATGATCGTGTGTGTAAAGCACAAGCGATTCAAGCCCAACTTCCATCCCAGAACCCACATGAAGGTGGAAAAAAAGAGCACCTCCTCCACAGAGTGGCCTCTGACCCCCATATGCACACATCACACACAGTAATAAATTAAAACTTATAAAACTGCATCTTAATGGCAGTAAAGGCTATAATTTTATTTGTATATTGTCTTATAATTAGTCTGCTAGTGAAATGCATTTTTTCCTTGTGTTATAGTATTATTTACTAGTTATTCTATGCAGAAGGCTGAGGGTGCTTGTGTTTTATTTTATTAATTAGTGAATTTAGACAAGGTCTCACTGTGAACCCTGCCTGTCTTGAAGTCCATTGTATATAGCTGTGGAGGGTACCTGAACCCATATCTCTGAATGCACAGAGAGCCACCTGCCTCTGTTAAAGGTGTACCGCACCACACCTATTACTGCTGGCATTTGCAGTTTGGATTAGTTGATATTTTTTTGTCTGCTTTTGCAAAGAATGGTAGATGTTATTATCATATACTCACATATTATATATATCTAAATGCTTCTAATCTACAGTTACTAAATAGGTATGATAAATTTGGAAAAAGTTCTCAGATATTTCTTAGAAAAATAAAATAAATTTTTGATATTTTCCCTTTTTTCTCTTTTAGGTTAAAGTTGGCAATTGTAATATTCCCAAGCCAAACTTCTTTGATTTTGAAGGAAAGCAAAAGTGGTAAGAAAAGTTCTTGGAATCTTTAATAAGGTTGTCGGAAATGATTTAGGAGCTTAGGAATTAGAAAGGGGTTAACAGATTAGAGAATTATTTTTATGTTAATCTCTCTGATGTTGGCTGCTAATGACAGGCGGTTGGGAGAGGGATTAAAAGAATTTGCACTTAGCTAAGTCTCCAGGATCCTTTGGCACTGAAGGTAGTACATAGAAAGTTCATAGCAGAGGTAAACTCCTGCGAGACCCTTTGGGTATCTTATTGCTCAAGATTGTTTCCTTATATGTAGCCTCCAGGGGACTGCTTCTCACATACAGAGGTGTCTTTGAGAGAAAGCCAGAGAAAGAAAGGGAGGAGAGCGGGATAAATCTCCATCTCATACTTTTCTATGCCTCTGCCCCACAGCAAAGAAGTGCTTGTTATAATTTTTTATATATATATATATATATATATATATATATATATATATATATATAT